TGAGCCCAATCTGGGAAGTGCAAACAGGGACACCCAGTTTTGCTAACCTTGTTGCCACCTGTCCCAAGATATTCCCTTCCCAACATACCAAACATTTCCTTTTCTTCCTTTCTTTCCCCACCCACTCCTCCCTCCCTGAGATCTCTTCCTCAGCCAGATGGTTCCCTGACTGTCAGAACTTATCTCCTGTCAATTGCTTCTCCTCAAGCCTAGAGACACCCCAAAGCAGTGTCCTTGACAAAACAAGGTGTTGTGCTGACACAACAGCCCAAGGTGTCAAAGTAATTAGATAATTGAGTCAGAGGAAGGTCAGAGTTTCTTCTGTCTAGAAACACACACACACACACACACACACAGAAAAACGACACACGGCGATCAGTTTATATCTCCTTTGTTTTTCCCTTTCTCCTTGGCTCTGCTCCAAAAGCCCAGTACCTATGATCAATCAATCCTTTCAAAACATTGGACTGAAAAGCCACCTGACTTAGAAGGCGTGGCATGTTTGAATGCCAGGGAATAGAACGTTTTCAAGGTTTCAACACACCCCTTGTTTTTGTCTTCCCTGTTTGTTTTCACCCTAGCCCCACCCTAAGCTCCTGTTGGTGCAATGGCCCCAGATAGTGGCTCAATGCCATGGATAGGATATTGCTCAAAGCGGGCTGTGGGCGCTAAGAGCAAAGTCCTCTCCCAGGAAACCAAGCTCTCAAGGTCATCTTCCCTGGCTCTTTGTTCACTCTTTCAACACTCAACACTTAAAGGGCTGCTGTAGTTTTAGAGGTTGTGTTGGGATCAGTTGTCCATAGGAGCTCACTCTCTGGTGAGAATGTGGACTTGTGGCTCCAAAGTCCTGAGGCTGTAACCGAGGTCTGAAGGAAGTTCTGGAGGCCTCAGGGGAGGGTGTGGCTGACTCCCTCTGGAGTCTAGGAACAAATGACTGGATGACATTTGAATTACAGGCAGGAAGAAAGTGGGAATTCTAGGTAGAGGAAGAACATATTTAATGGCAGGAGAGATTCAAAAACAGATTGTTTTCTGAGAATGTAGAATTTATTGAGTCTGAACTTGGGGCTATGCTGGGGTTGGTGGCTGATTGGGTGGTTGGGCAAAATTGAGTGTGTCCTTAACAAGATCCCAGGAATGTGGCGTGCCCTGACAGCATCAGGGTGCCAGTGGAGATTTGGGGATAGTTGAGTGACCAGATCTCTGTGGAGGGGGTCACACTTGTGTGGGTCTCCTCAAATCAACTTTTAGTCTACTTCGTTTCAGCCATACAATAATACAGCTTTCAGCACCAACTCCTTGCCCCAAAGAGCACCCCTCCATTGACCTGCTCTGGTATCTGGAGGCCCTCTCACCCACATTCATATGAGAGCAGCCATTTATAGGGAGTGAGATGTGTCTAAGTGGCTGCCCAAAGAGCTTTGGCTTCAGAGAGACTAGGTTTTGAAACTTGTCTCTGCCTTTTATCAGCTGTTATCTTGAGGAACTTAACTCCCAAGGCTCAGTTTGCACTTCTTAAAATGGATCTTGGATAAGCATGCCTTTTAATTGGATTTTCTTGGGTGAGGTAAATCAAGTCACACAGAGGACCTATCTGTAGCTTATGGAATTGCTTCATTAATTGTGTGTGTGTTCAAGGCCTGCCCAACTGGCTTTTCCTAGAACTATTACTTAACTCACTCATGTGATTACTAAGAGTGTGGCTCAGGATGCAGGCAAGAGGGCCCTTGCCCTGGGCCACTTGATTTACCTCTGAAGATAGTTACCACTGCGAATCACAAACATGAAAACACATAAACTTGAAGAGAAGATGCGGGCACTTCTGTCTTTCAGGCTGGTACTCAGAGCTGGGAAGGCCAGATCTGGTTTTTGTAACAAACACCATTCAGGCCCCCAGATCTTCAGACTGTTTATCCTATGTCCTAGGATAAACAATTGTCAATGTTTGGATGCTGGGAATGGTTGGGAGCTGAGCTGCTTGTGAATTTGAAGATGGACAAGGCTTTGCAGAACCAGTAGGGTTTGAAGAGTTAAAGCACTTAGCAATTAATGAACTGGTTAAATCCTTCCTCTCTGATAGTAAAACTGTAACAGATTTTCAATAACTAAGTAGTCCTGAGTGCCCTTTTCTTACTTCTCTTTATGTTCTAAGTCATGACTCTGGAGGTAGTCATGAATTAGCATGAATTTCCAACTGTTCCACAAAGAATCAGAGGGAAATTTTTCAAAATTAAACAATTCCTATTACCTTTAAATTGGTATATTTGTGGGTTGAGATATAATATGTATGACAAGTATGATATAGATTCATAATATTTTCAACAGTGGCCAAATTAAAAACTGGCAGTAAATGCTTTGATTTTTTTTTTAAAGAAATGATTAACTGAATTTAATTAAATTTTAAAAACTTAAATTGAAAAACTGACTTTACTCAAATAATAACATTGAAAATGTTGGTATCTATTATCATACTTTACAGTTTTCTTTGAATGATAATAATATTTGATATTTAAAATATTTTTGAAAAAACATTTTTGAAAATGTGTATAGAAAGTAATATTAACTTGCAATTTTTTACATTGACTTTCATTTACATTTTTCATGAACATATACTAAAATATTAAACATATTGAGTGCAATGACAATTTGTCTTATCCTTTAGATCAGCTAAATCTGATAGAACTTTCTGTTGTTCTAGAAATATTATTACATTTGTGCTGTCAAAACCATAACCACAGGGAGATTCAAGATGGTAGATTAGAGGAAGACTGTGTCCCTAGTTGCTCCAAGGCTCAGGATTTAAGCACTTGGGAGTACTGCTTCTCAGCAAGTTGAGATGTTTAGGAAATGATTAAGTGCACATTGTTTGGTCAGAGCATACTAGAGACTACGGGAAAGGAATTATTCCTACAGAATTTGGTGATGTCCTTATTTTAATATATCCAATGGAAAAAAATCACATGTTCAGTATCCAGATGATGAGAAAAATAGAAGTCCCCTTTTTTGGTCCACTTCATGATGGTGTTATTATGAATTGGAAGGTTCTACCCATAGTGGTTGGAGTAAGAGTTAGAAATGCAATCCATGCTCTGAAATCTCTGATTCCATTGTGTTGGAACTTCCATGAGGAGAGATCACAATATCTCCAAACAATTATCCAGCACCATTCAGAAGCAACCACATTTGAAGATTTTACAGCACAAATTTTTTCCAGTTCCCTACCTTCATTTTACACCTGATGCTGAACATTAAATATCAGTTCTATTTATCCAAAGGTTACTAATCAGATTCTACCCAATGAAACTCCCACAGCCATGCAGGTAGAAGGAGCTGACCTGCCTCCAGTGTCTCCTGGACGAGCAAACTCCGCATGTCCATGAAGCTGCCTTGTTCCTCTGGCTCGGCCAATAAATCCTAATAAATCCAAGAAACCAAACAGTGATCAGCAGTAACCATCTTAACATAAACATAGTGTTAATCCTTCTAGGCCTTCATGTCGGCCATAACATACATGTTTCTTCCTGTACATATGTTTGAGAAAATACTGGACTTAGACAATATGTTACTTAATCTTTTTAGTTTTAGATTTGGACTATTTATTCAATTTGTTTTTTTCTCCACACTCCAAGCTGCTATACTTTGAAGCAGTGGAGTTTTATATTTGACACTCTTTACTTTCCTAGATAATTATGACTAAGGAGTTTTACCTTTAGTTTCATGATTAATGTTGAGCCAAAATATAATTGGATAGATAGTCTCACTTTATTTATTGTGCTTCACTGCAGCTTTATGGCTCAATAAATGTTTAATTTTTTAAAAAATGTAAAATTAAGTTTAAGCATTTTTAAAGTTAGAGCAAAAGATTACAAATCTGTTAATACACACATGCGTATAGGGTATTATTACAAAACCAAAATACTTGAACTATCATTTAGCATCTCAAATTCTAAGTGAAGTAATTTTAGCACTAACTTTTTCTTCCCAAGATAATGTCTTTTTTCTTCATTGTGCAGGTGGTGTCATGACATGTCCAATAACTAGAAAAATCTTTGTTGAATTTTGATTTCTATTTAGCTTCCAAATAATTCTCTAATGTTTTGCTTTTTAAGTGGTATCACTGTTAAACTGATGTTTCTGTTTTGAGATTATGGCCTCTTATTAGCTGAAAGATCCTGGCATGTCTGTACTCTTTCTTAAGTAACTAAAAAGTAGTGATTGGAGGAAAACACTTTTCTCACCTAACTATATTGTTTAGATCATGTGTATTATTAAAAAAGAAAAGAGAATAAGAGTCTAAGTTAAGTCTAATATTGCTAATACTGAACTTGCAGGCGCAAGTAGGTAGACATTCTATCCTCCAGAAATATTCTGTAGTAGATAAGCAGCTCGTATTTGGTTTTGAATAGGCATCTCTTGTTTGGGGGGTAGTATCAGGGATTGAATCACTGAGCCACATCCCCAGTCCTTTTATTTTTTATTTTGAGACGGGGTCGCACTAGGTTGTTTATAACCTTGCTAAGTTGCTAGGCTGGCTTTGAACTCGTGATGCTCCTGCCTCAGCTTTCCGAGCTGAAAGGATTATAGGTGTGTACCACACTACCTAGCCCATGAATCAGCACCTCTTAAGAAAACATAGCATAATGTCAGTACCAACTGCATTTGTTGAACATATGAATACAACATACTGGAAACCACGGAATATAAAAAATGTATTATCACTTATGTAGGGTCTAAAAATTTGTAGCAATGAGGGGATTAAAAATGGCATAATATTTAATAACACAATTAAAATATTCTTATTAAAAACTAGAAACAATATCTATTGAGTATATGAAATGTAGCTAGTAAACTGAGGACTTTTTACTCTTATTTAATTTCAATTTAAAAGTCCATTGGCTATCATATTGGAAAGCACAATTTTAGATCATTGAAACTAGAACAAGTACATATAATAATAAAAATAAGAAAACATGAGCCAAAATGAGCATTTACTCTTAACAAAATGGAAAAGAAAGATATAGAAAAGCACAAGAGGCTTTTATGAAAGAAGATTTGAGGAGAAAAAGAAATAAAGAGGTGATTTGCCTAATTCCTTAAAATAGAAAAAATGAAAATGAGCAAACTGACTAATGATGAGGTTACATACTGATAAACTTATTGTAACTTGAAAATATTATAAGTTGCAAATGCACTTAATGTACCTAACCTAGCAAACATTGTCGATTAGCAACAAGGAAGACTTGTTGTCCTGATCACCTGGCTGAATGAGAACTATGGTCTGTCCATGTGCCAGCTGGGGGAAAAATCAAGTTCAAAATTCCAAGTAAGATTTCTACTGAATGCATGTTGTTTTCACACTATGTAAAGCCAAAACATTGTAAGTCAAACCATTATAAGTTGGGGGTCATCTGTATATATCAAAGACAAAGCAAATGCTTAATGCTTGAATGTTAGTATGAAATTTTTAAAAATGTAATATTGTTTAACCAAACACAGTAATGCTTTTTGTAGCACTAATGGATTAATCTTCTCAGGAAATTTAAAAATGGAAAATATTTGTATCTACTAGAATTTCTGTGGAATGCGTCATTGAAAGGCCCAAATATGTAAGACAAACAAGAAATAACAAAATTCATTTTTATTATCCAATTTAACTAGATTCCTCAGGGGCAAAAGTCACATTGAACAACTAACAACCATTGTGCATATCAATGAAGTATACCAAAGAAGAAAACAGGAATGTTAAAATTAATTTTATTGGTTTTACACGTCTTTAAAAAAAACCAAAAAGTACAGGTTTCAATTTAAATGAAAAACTAAAAGAGTATTTTGGGGCTTTGTTCATTTACTTCAGAGATTGCCAAAAGCAAGCCTATAATTGACACTAAAACAAATGATAAGGAAAAAGGTATATAGATTGGAATTTGGTCTAAAATCCAGAAGCACTCTTTGTTATATATATGGTTCATAAATTCCATGTCTTACTGGAAGATGAGCCTCAACTGTGCTAACTAAAATCGCCTACTTTTGGGACACTTCAAAGATTATGTTCAGTATTTAGGAGTTCTGCCCAAAGACAGAATCTCTTTTTTATTTATTTTTTTCTTTTCTTTTTTTGGTACCAAGGACTGAACCAAGGGGTGCTTAAACACCAAGCCACATCCCCAGACCTTCTAAAATGTTTTATTAGAGACAGGATCTCCCTAAGTTGCTCAGGGTCTCACTAAGTTACTGAGGCTGGGTTTGAATTTGCGATCATCATGCTTCAGCCTTCCGAGTATCTGGGATTACAAGCGTGCACCACCGAGCCTGGCTAGACTCTTTTTAAATAGACTCTTTATTTTATAATATACATTGCATCTAACCTGAAAAACATTCTTGGACCTATTATGGAGAAAGCTGTTAAAGCCATTAGATTTAATACTGATAAGATACAAGGTACCCTGGAAGAAAAATCAAAACTTGAATATCCTCAAAGAAATACTGAATTGTGATTTTTGGTAGAAAGTAAAATTAATTTTGAATTTACAGTATTCCTCTGAATGAGTGTGAATAGCTGCTTGCTATTAATACTACTAGCAGAATATTACAACCAATAGTTCCAAGTTTGCCTTTTTATACTTTTGAAGGTTTTTTTAAAAAAAATTAACAATTTTTCTGAATTAGAAGACTATGCCAAGTATACAATATAAATGATATTCCAATAAAATGTATGAAAATGAGAGAAAACAAATTATTTGAATGACTATAAGAGAGAAGTTTCATGTATAAATAATCTTCGATCTGTAGACTTTATTTTTAAGCTACTATAGATAAGGATGTGGTGTCTGTTAAAGAAAAAAATTGAATAAGTTGAGCAACACACTACCATTTCCAGTCTTTTTTTTTTTTTTTTTTAATTACTGCAGCATTTTTTTTTAAGATGGAAGAAGTTAACACTGGCCACTAGAACTTTAAGAGTCTGTGAAAATGGTAGAAATGTAAGTAATAAGATATATATAGATATATATATAGATATAGATATATAGATATATATATTGGGGGATAGTGATACTTTATCATATGTATCCCATAATAATGTTTGAAAGTGATATGTAAAATTCATGGTTCATTTTTAAATTATGAGTATTTCTATAATAACTTCATTAACAATTCCAGTTGCTATTCTCTCAAGCAGGTGGATACAGGAGATAAACTGATGTTGGGCCTTCCAGGGAAGACCTTGAATTTCTGAGAGCTAGAGAAACAGGACCCCTGGTGACGACATTGACGTTTTTAAGATGTAATAGTATTTGGGTGTTTTTGTGTCTCATTGTTGACTTTGGTATTTCCAGAGAACACGGACTGCTTATCTCACGTGAGCTGAAAGATGTCTGGGATTTCCAGATGCTGAACTGTTTAACAGGACTAACTGATAGAAGCAAGTGACCCAGGGACTTGGGTGAGACAGGTGGTGTCTGGATCTCTGGGAAACGTTTGAAAGCAAGACCAGAACTTTGATCTACATGGGTCTCTTAAACATGGACTCTTTGATTTGTAAGCTCTTGTGTATTTGCAAGGGCATTTCAATCCATATATTTATTATCTTCCCCACTCTTCCTTTGTGGGCACAATTTTACATCAGACATTTGAGGTATTAGAAGTTTATCTTTCAAGGGAAATTATACCTAAGTTTAGATGAGTATCTATATCTCTATCCGTATCTGTAGCTATCTGGTCAAAAGTGTTCCTGACTTTTCACATACCTAATTTCAAATTCACTAGCAGTGAGAGAAATCTACACTGGACTTGTGTGGGAAAATGAGTATAGAAAAGGAGCCTGTCTAATGTTCAGCTTCTTTGAAAGGACTGCCGGGTGCGATGCATCTTTTGTTAAGGTGTTATTCTTTTAAGTTTCTGATTAACATAAGTTTTAAAAAATTATACAAAAACATAATACCATGATTATGGAAATAAAAAGCCACCCACAAGCTTACTATCTTTACAAATCATCTATTTTCATTCTTTCCTGTCTTCCCAAAAGGCATATTTTTTTCAGTGTTGGACATGCAGCACAAATAAGAGTTTGCATCCCGATCTTTCCCATAAAGCATCACACAATGCATATTACTAATGTGGTCTCAATATAACACATATTTCAATGACTTCAAAATATTACTTTAGTGGATATAATTTAGATCAGCATTCAAAAATAATTATGGGATATTTAAGTTGCCTCTAATTCACTTCTGTTATCAATAATACCTCTTTTCTGTTACCCTTTTCCCTAGTATTTAATTATTTCCTTAGAATAAACCTCCAACAGTAGAATTATTAGGTCAAAAGAGCTGAAAAGTTGATGAAATGGTTGGTTGTTACCTCTTCTGATTAATTTATTTTAAATCACAGTCTTCTTCCCTTGTTTAAAGCAGACTAACTTAGTGGCTCACTAACTTGCTAATTAACTAGCTTGGTGTTCCAGGTTCCCAGTGCGTCCTATTCACATCCAGCTGGTTCATGATACCCTTGTCTTTTCTCCTTCCTGGCAATGATCCTCTGGTTTGTAGTTCTTTACACACATAAGCTACAGGGATAACTTTTTGCCCTGCAGCTTGATCACTTCAGGGATCCTGTCTCTGGCATCAAGGAATTCCCCATCTGCAGAGCCTCTGTGAGACACAGCCTCAGTGGGTAGGAAAGAGGTGACTGATGGGCCAGGCAAGGGCTGAGCTCCTGGCTATCAGCTCCTTCTTTCTCTTACTAACTGGGTCTCTGCCAAAGCATCTTGGGCTCTGCCACCAACCTATCCCAATGGCTCTTACCATAATTCAGGCAACCATGTGAGCGTGGCACAGGCACTTAACCATGCACCCACTCTGCCTGGAACTGGCAGGGACCTGGGACCCATGAGGAACCCATTGGGAACTCAGATGCAATCTCTCCTCTCAAGAACTCTGTAGGCTGAAAGATAAGAAATATATGCTCTAGGAATATAGCTGAGAGTTTATGATTACACGGAAGCTCAGAAGAGAAGGTTATCATCATAAGCCTGGAGCTGGGAATAGAAGGACAGATAGGAATCGGAGAGACAAAGACATTCAAAGGACATTGAGTTTGTAGCATGAAGAGGTTCGCCATTCGGTTGATAAGCATCTACCACTCCCCAGGCTCTGAGCTGGGTGCCTCGCACCCACAGATGGGTGGATAGATCCCAGGCCTTCAGGAGATCACACCCCCGTGGGAGAGACATGCAGGAGATGGTCACAATACAGGGAAATGTGTGCCATCACAGAGGAACTCCCAGAACACTGTTAATGCCGTACTCAGATTTGTCCTGAAAAGATGAAAGGTGGGACAAAAAAGAAATCTTCTTTCTGGACCTCGAAGGAGTTGGAGTATTGTATGATGATCACACAAACAAAATGTGAGGGTGCAGCTGTGGAGGGGAAAGGGCCTCTCCACCTTCACTCTGAAGACCTAATTCCAGCTGTGTGACTGTGATCAGGTTCTTCCAAGTCTCTGGACCTCGGTTTTATCACAGGTAAAGTGGGGATCATAATAATTCTGCAACTTTTGGTAGCCCAAAAGAGAAGGAGGTACGAGAGTTACAATTATTCTTGTTGTATATGAAAGCATTATTGAAAACCCTCCAGCCTGGCATAGAAGAGTGATTATTGGCATGATGGTTTGATCCTAGCCACAATTACCTGCCTCCATGCTCCAGGCTCATACCACAAAGGGGGATGGCTATAAATGAGAAGGATGCAACCTACCACCCACCACATCTGCTTTCTTTCATAGTCCTAAGTCCTCCTGAATTTGATTATTAGTTTATTTTCTCTTTCAGGAAATTAAAATGTGTAGCATACACTATCCCTAAGGGATTTTAGAGGGGATGGCAGGTTAGCCACACGGCCAGGGTTCACCTATGTGTAACTTCACAGGACATGGATTCTATCATTTCTCACAAGAAACTGTGGCGATAGCCAGAGATGACAGAGGTGCCAGATGAACCAAGGAGAGAGGGTAACTCAGAGGTGATGACCTTTGTCCCTTAACTGACACCTCTGAGCTTGGTGGCTTCCACAGAGGTAGACACTTCTGTTTGCATATTGCTTTAAAGGGATTAAAGGATCTGCATTCTGGAAGCCTCCTTCCTGGTTCTGCCCCAGGCTCTGAGCTCATGCCCCATTCATTCCATTGTAATGAGATGAACTCACATTCCTTGGGAATTTACTCTATGCCAGGAATTATACTCTACCTTTTTTACACTGCCACACAGCTATGCTGATTATCCCTACTTTACAGAGCAGGAAACTTAGGCAGAAAGTCAGTCATTCACAGCTAACAATTTGCTGGGATTTGAGAGCTGAGTCAAACAGGCTAACTCCAGAGCCCATACCTGTGACCATTCTGGAATTTTACCTCCTTCAAACAGGTAAGCCTGGAATTCCCACATCACAAGACAAACCTAATGGCCTCAAATCAGGAGTCAAAGCCAGAGGCTGTTCTTAGAATTGGCTTCTCATACAGCGAGAGACCTGGAGGAGAGGAAAACAGCGGTGGAAGGTTTTCTCAGCATACAGGCAGTAAATATGTCCATGCAGAAATTCTTGCAGGTGGCTTGAGGAAGTTGGAAGTTGACCTTGGTGTGGAAGAGAGAACCTGGTGATGGAAGAGCCAAGCTTTAAACAATCTCTTCCAGACTCCAGCTTCCCGAATTGTTTGTGCATTGTCTTTTGTTTTTCTAGAAAATACATGAAGTTTGTCACCCCAACAGCGCCTCTGAGCATAACCTTGCATTTCCCATGGCCTCATTCAGCAGTCTCTGCACTCGTCTCTGTGGAACTCCACTGGGAAGAACAACCCAATAGACTGATAGTATGTGTGTAAGCACATGTGTAAAACCACACCACTAATGTTGTGCACATTGTCAAATGTAAGTCAAACTAGAAAATTATAAAAGAAGAGATTAAGATGAGATAAAGAGTACTTTGAAATGGATGCTAATCTGAATGACGCTACACCCTCTACCACCTCAAGGTATAATCAGTACTGTAGGCAGGAGTCATCATTAATAATAGCACATGAAAACCTATATTCCCAAGCATTTCTCCTGATATTTTTTATTTACTTATTTATATTTTTGGCCCACTGTTTGCTATATAGATTATGTCATGAGATTGGTTCTAACCCCCAAAATGCATCTCAAAGAAAGTCAGTTTAGAGGAGGCAGGCTCTACCATGTGTTTGTTATTCTCTGTGTTTATTGTATTATTTTCCATCCACAGGTTTGTTGCAGAAATCTTTTTACAACACTCATCTATTTTGTAAGGGTTCATTTGGTTCCATCTAGATAAGGAATCTACAAATCCATGAACCAGATAGATGAGAATGGCAGTGTGTACACCCCCGGGCCCTCCAGAGCACAGCACCTCACCCCTTTCCTCATAATAGCCTTACTTGGAGATGTTATAAGAAACCATTGGACACAAGGATCCAAAGAGGGTCCCATAATCAGTGCTATAAGAAATAATGGTAATTTTCAATTTTTTCTTTTTTAAAATGGATGTAAGTATCATTGAAAATTCAGTATGACTTGCATAGCCATTCAGGAACATGCATTGTTCTTTGGAAACCCTGATCTACCAAGATCAGAATCCTTAGCCTTCTAAGACCAGTGACCTACTTCTTTAACCATACCTTCAACAGACTCCAGCCCCACCCCATTCCTGTGATCACCCACACATGCTACTGTATAAACACACAGGGCTAGTCATCTTTCTCTGAACACTTTCTTCCCCTGGGACTTTGCTCAGATTGCTCTTCTGCTCGGAACACCCTGGCTCTTCATTGCAGCCTTTCTCAGTTTTATAGTCATCCATTGAGGCTTCACTTGTGTTATCACCTCCTGTGTGGAATAATAGCAATCCCAACCAATGTACACTGGTTGCTTACTACACCCTGGGCATGTATCATCTCATTATCTCATGACAATCCTACGAGATAGGGAGGATTCTGAGAAAACTGTCAGTGAGAGCAATGTCTGGAGCCACACAGCTAGGAGATGGGGAGCCAGAAACCAAACCCAGCTGGAGTATGAAATCTCACACTCTATCCCTGTGTGTGTGCTTTAATTTAATTTTACTTATTTGAATAGGTAAAACCTCACTAATACTCTCTTATTCTCCTTAGTAGTAGGGAGATGGAATTAGTTACTCTTTCCTTGAGTTTCCACATCTACTTGTATGTTAATATCAGGTAGTATTTACTTCGCTCTGCCATGTATTGTTATTCTTTGGGCACATGTCTCATATCTTCAACTATACAGTGGGAAATCTTTTAGACAAAACAACAACAACAATAACAACAAAAACAAAACAAAAACATATTAGATTCCTTACAGCATATAGTAGAAACAATAAATGTGGTGAATAAATGAATGAATGGATGGATGGAAGAACTGATGGATGGGGAAAAATAAAGATCTAGGTTGGGTATAGTTTTCTTTAGATATTTTCCTGGTGACCCGAGGTGCTTATTACAAAGGCAAGTAGGTGTATATCTGTAATAGATTATAAAGATTTCAAACCAAAATGGCAGGTGAGAGTTTCACCTTCCAATATTTATAAAAGCACTTAAGACTTGTCTCCCTCTTTAATCTGTAATGACTAGCTGATAGAGACTCAGACTTATATTTATGTAATCTAACATCCCCAGGTACTGAATGTACCAAAAGTTATTTCCCTGCTTCATTACAAATTAGCACTTGATACCTTGGATAACTTGAGTATTTCGGGGCAGACCATTCTGATGTTGACAATAATTAATGTAGTCAGCAGAAGAAACTTTGGCTCATTTGATATTGAAAATAACACATACACACACACTCCACAATTTAGGATTTTTTTTCTTCCTCTATGTTACTGATTCAGGATCTGAGACTTACAGAGATGAAGTGAATTGGTCAATAATCACAAAGCCAAGAAATGAGAGTCCATATCCAAACATAGGTTTTAGACTCAAATCCCTTGATCTTTCCCCTCCCTCTGTTGCTCAAACATAAAATGAATCCCAGAATATTGGATATTTGAGCTATCAAAAATTTACCACGGGCATAGCAGAAAATCTTTTGGTGTTTTTGAAATGCTGTTCTGTTTAAATCTGCAGCCTTGAGCATTGCTTACGGCAGGGGAGAGACTGGCGGGCTCGTAATCCCTAGAGGACTAAACAGAAGCCCAGTCCATCTGTGATAAATATCTCTTCCAAGGGCCACAGGTGTGCACGACAGAGCAAGCATCTTTCTTTTCCGCCTCAGTGCTGAAACCATCATAGAAGCATTCCGTCCTCTGTTCAGATACTCTTTTCTTCCTTTTAAATTTTTTTTTTCTGGTTAACATTTGATTGTGTTCTTTTGCGGAGGTACAATAACCAGCACTGTAACGATAAGCCGGATAGTGAAACAGACAGGCTGGTGTGTACCCACTAGAAACAGGGATATGGGGATGTACAAGGCCTCATTCCCAGTTCTAAGAAGGACTGGAAGAGACAAAGTCAGATTACTTTTTTCTCACCTTCACTGGACAAGGCAGCCACACTAGGTCAAAAAGTAACCATAGGCTCCCTGAAAAGAAAGGTCAGCGAGGCCACCTTCAATCTACTGATAGAAATGTGGATGGAAAGTGGATTTACTCTGAGGAATCCCTTAAAGGATAAGAATAGTAAAGAGCAGTGAAACTTAAAAGCAACTAGTTTCCCATTCATTGTAGGGCAGCCCTTCCTGACAGAGATGTGCAACAAAGGAAAGAGCCACCTTCTGGAATAGTGAGCTTGATGTCATTAGAAGGATTCAAGCCAGTTCGCCTCGCCCTGACAGTGGCATAGAGGGCATATATTAAGACAGTAGATGGTTTGGCACAATAACTGCTAAAACCCCTTCTAGCAAAGGCATTTTGTGTTTCTCCAAATATTCCACACATGAGTGCCTTAGGGGATGAGTTTAGGCAAAGCTCATCTGTTCCATAATATTTGGCCACAGTACAATGCTTGCTGCCTGGTCACAAAGCATTTTACAGACAGCTGTTACCACCCCTATTTCAGAAGTGTGGTGGAAAGGGAATTCAGAGACAGGTGAGGGACTGCCACCATACAAGCAGGTGGGAAGAGGTCCCTGGCTCCAGAGCTTCCCTGTACCTGAGCCCACACGGTTCTCCACTAGATCTCAACTCAGCAAATTCCAGCCACGTGCCACAATCCCTTTGCCCTGAGAAGCCCCCTGCCCCTGAAATGCCTTAGGAGTTTCTTCTTCTAGGTTGTAAAGTCATGCAGTCCCAGTGTTTGAACAGTCTGAAAGGTCATAGAGTCAAGCTCTCCGGAATCCACAGGAAAGCAATGCTTCCCACTGACTCCAACTGAGATCTAGCAAATGGAATAAGCCACGTGGAATCTTAAGGAATTCTGTCTGGGCTCAGGGATAAATAGAGCAAAAGTCACAGCCAAATATTTTGCCAGATTGTCCAGAGGAAACAACAGTCAGTCTTTATGGAGAAAAAGCACTGGGTTCCAGGAGTGGGAAAAAATATATTGTTTGTTGAAGTTGCAAAGATGTGGAGTGATAAGGAATCATGACACCCTGGAAGGACTTTGCACTTCACAGATGAAAAGGTGGGTGGATGGGTGGAGGGATTCAGGAGCAAACAATGAACTGAGAATCAAGAAACCTGGGCCACACTGAGCTGCTATTTGACCTTGGGAGAGTCTGAACTCTTCCAAACTCAATTTCCTCAAAAGGATAACAATTTGTGGCCAGGATTGATTGGGGGATCAGATGAGATCATGGATAAAAGCACTTGTAACTGGCAAGATTAGACAAAAGAGAATTTCTAATATGATCAACCCTGCCTTTGGCACTTTTTCAATGTTCCCGGGCAAGAGAAAAGGGTCAAGATTATTATTTCCTACTTGCAGATGTGAAGAGACCTGGTCCTGTTTCACAGTACCTGGACCCACAGGAGAAACACCAGTGCCTGCCTACAGCATGGTACTTCCTCTCCTTTGGAGAATGACACCATTACATAACTGACTTGGGTGGGGTGCCCCAGACCTTGGAGATTTCCTTCTGCCTGGCTGTGTGGAATTAGGAAGATGGGCACTTTCACATTGACTTGAGGGCCACAGTCCTTAACTCTCTTGTCTCCACTCCACCCTCTGCTATTGATATGGTCTCTGCCACCTCAGGCCAGGGAAGGAATATCTGCCCTCTCTCTTGTTCTGTGCCCTTGAAGAATCCCTTAGCCATCATCTGTCACATATAACAGTCTCCAAATCATTCTAACTTCTGCTTCTCCAACAGTGTGGCCTCTGCTGTGAGGTTTTCTAACCACGGGTTTCCCCAACATCCCCATCCCCTCCCGGCCGGCTTCCCCTCATTCTCCTCTTCTTCTCTACAAAATGAAATGAGAAAGGCAGTCAAGTGACTCACCGGTCCACACAGACAGGGCGGGAGAGGCAGACAGAGCGAGTGTGTGGGTCCAGATGAATATTTCCGCAGGCCTCTTGACTGCTTCACACGATCTGCTGAGCTTCATGAAAGGGAGGATATAAAAATCTGAGTGGTGCCATATTGTCTCCAAAAGCAGCCAGCGTGAAAATGAAGTGTGACTGCCGCCTTCCCGAAACACAGGGCCGTTCCCGCCTCGCACCCTCAAATGTGGCGCAGGCCAACTTGTCTGGAGTAAGGAGGCCCACGCTGTCTGCACCCTGGGGCCTCAGCCACCCTCCTTGCCAGGGCTCCCTGGGCTTCAGGATCACCCTTTCTGAGAACTCTGGGCCCCATGCTGCCTCAGGCCCCTGAATAGATACACAGCGGTGTCTGCTGGGGTCTCTAGCGTGATGCCAATACAAGATGCTTTCTTGGGGGGATCAGCCCCAGCAGCATGGGCCTAGGCAAGGCCCAACTCCAAACTCTATGGCCACCTTGAGGTATTAGAGACCAGAGCTTCATACTGAGCAGACTGTGCATGAGGAGGCAGTCAGAGTGGGTGGGCCCCTGTCCCTCTGCCAACAGAGGAGCTCTGCTGGATTCCACTTTGTACACTGGGCATCTGCCTAAGAATTCACTGGAAAAAAGAAAAAGAAAAGAAAAGAAAAATCAAGCCCACTGAGATTACAAACAAAAATGGAGACAACTTTGAAAGCCCCAGGGATGAAGTCCTTTGGTTCTCAAACTTGAACACGCCTCAAAATTTCCTGGAGGGCCAGGTACAACACAGATGGCAGAACTGTCCCCAAAGTGGCTGAGTCAGTATGTTCTAAGGAGCCGTCATGGTCCTCCAATGTTGCTCTTCTGGAGATCAACTAAAGAATCACTGGACTAGTCTCAACTTTCCCTTTCGGAGGCCAGAACAGCGGACTTTTTTAAGATGCCTTAGCAAACCAAGGTGAATTGCAACAGGAGACCATTTTTTGACAGCTCTCCCCCCTGGAATAGTGAGCTTGCTGTCATTAGAAGGATTCAAGCCAGGCCACCCCTCCCACCCACCCCCATTTTGTCCACAGCTTGCTTATAATGCCCTGCCTGCTCCAGTGCAACAGGGCCCTGGGCAGAGAAAGCTGCTGCAGCCTGGGCTCTCTGATGACCTCATTCTGTGATAAAGAGAGTATTCCTTACTCAGAGCCCATGGGTGGCCAGCCTGTGTGTCTGCCATTTTGAAAAGTGACATCTTACCTGTAGGTTTTAGGATGCTTCCCCCAAACTTGACTCCTCTAAGGCCTTCATTTCTTATTGTGTCTTCCCCAATCTCACTCCTTTATTCTTTGATCCAACACTTCCCAGATGAGGCCTTCTAGGTGCTGGGTGCTATCTTAAATCCTGAGAAAGACACAGAAACCTGTGAGGAACAGGCTTCTCTCAACCTTCTGGGACTTCACATCTGGGCAGGAGGCCCTCAGGTGTGTGAGGACAAGAAAGGGGAGTCTCCTGAGGGGGGCAACAAGATGTCCACAGAGCAGGGGTATGATGGGGCTGTCAGCATGTGGAATGGGTGATTCAATCCTGAGAAGCACTATTGAAGACACCGGTGCTTTGCATCCTTCTTTTCTCCTCACAAGCATCCCTGCGGGCCGTGCCATTATCAAAACCTTCTTTACAGAGAATTCAACTTGCTCAAGGCCACACAGCTACTCCAACTCACATTTCCTGACCCCAGAACATGATTCTGACCTCTTATTCCATTTAACTGTTCTCAGCCAAGGATGGACAGTTAGCACTTGTTGGGAGGCAGTGGAGATAGGTTTACTGGAGCACTGGATAGGCGTGGAGTGGAACAGAGAGGTTGGGGCTGTTTGTTGAGAGGTTTGAGTGTCAGGGTGAATTGTTGGAACCTAACTTGGGAGCTGCTGGGGAGCCAGTGGAGGATTTCAAACAGAAAAATGACACAAGGCACAGCTGTGTTTTAGGAAAATTCCTCTGACAACAGTGGGCACATTGGACAGAAAAGGGGCATTGGTGGCCAGGAGGCCACAGTGGAGTCTACTGCAGAATTTCGAGAGAAGCAAGGGCCTGGGTTAGTTCTGGGTGGCAAACCTGGGAGGAGACTCAAGACAGACGATCTTCTCTCCACTCTTATTGTGAACACTATTTGACCACTGACCATGCACCTGACCTCATTTGGTCCTCACAATAGCTTCTACATCAGATCTCCCCACCACCATCCTCCTTCTTGACTGTCTTTGTCCCTGCTGATGGGTCCTCAAGACTGGTAGTTTTCCTGTTTAGGATCAGAGCCCCAAACTTCCTCAAATCCATAGGAATCATGGGCTAAAAAATCTCAGGATCAAGGACTCATGCATGACCAGGTCAGAACCATTTGTTCTCCCCATTTTACAGTTGAGGAAGCCGAGGCCTGGAGACTATCAGTAACTGGCTCCTGTAGGAGCTGACGGTGCCTCCCCAGTGGTGGCAGATCCTTCCTCTGCTGACACGATGCTCCTGTGCTCCTGCCTTCTGGGGCCAGACTGGAGGCCCTGCAGCTGTGGTGGGTGCCAGATGGCATCTCAGTCACCAGGCTGGAGGGCGCCTGAGGACCTTGCGGTCAGCCCCACTGGCAGTATCACCTCCCTCGCTGGCACTGTGGGTATCGGGCACAGAGGGACTGAGTGAAGGGAACACGTGCTGCGGAGAGGGCAGGAATGAGGCTGACTCACGCTCTTTGTGGTGTGGGTTGCAGCTGTTCCGGGGGCATCCCAGCTACATGAGGCAGCTGCCATCTTCATGGTATCAGAGAGCCACACTTAACCCAGGAGCTGTGCTGTCAAACTGTAGCACTGCACAGAGGCAACCCAACTATTGGTTATTGAACCTCAGCTCTACCCGACCTCTACCCCAGCCCTGCATTTGCTCCTTCTACCTGTGTGATCTTGGGCAGGATGGCACTAATCCTGATGAACCTTACTTTCCTCATCTTTTCGTGGGCTTATTGACCTTTGCCCTCCCTATCTTCGAAATGTAGGGAGTGACCAGGAAAAAAAAAAGAAAATCTTTGCAACCTAAGAGATTCCATAGATTTCATTACTCTTATGCTTACTGATGTTAACATTAACATCATTAAACATTCTCGAAGGAAAAATGGTGGCAAAATGTTGTAAGGGTGTATTTGGAGTCTTCGTGGGGTTTTTACAAGCATCCTGTGAGTTTAAAACTACTTCATGACTTTTTTTTTAAAGTTACATTCTCTTTAATTACATTCTCTTCCATTCAGACAGCTTCACCATGAGGCAGGCATACTTCAGGCAACAAGAGAGGATGATCTCTGCCCTTGAAGAGCTTCATCCTAGCAGACAGAGACAGATATTCATCTGCATGATAAATATAAAAAAAAAAAAAAATCTGTTGTGCTAAGAGGTGTTTAGTCCTGTGGGGAAGAAAAGGAAAGCAGCTTAAGGAGAGCAGAGGGGGAGTGGGAGAGGGACGCACAAGCTGATTAGAAATAGCATGGTCCAGGCAAGACTCAGGGTGAAGGTGAGATCTCCAGGGGACCTGAGGGAGGAAAGGCAGTTACACAGCAGATATCTATGGGAAGCACATGTGCGAGTTGGGGTTGGAGCAAAGGTCAGGAGCTTGTTGAAGAACAGGAGGCCAGCGTGGCTGCCCCAGCACAATTAGGAGGTTCTGGGGCAAGGGAGAGTGGTGGGAAGTAAGATCAGAGAGGCAATATAGAGCCAGTCCTCTAAGGCTTTGGAGTCTATTTTGAGGACTTCCAAGTGAATGGGGTACCAGGGAAGGGATTAGAGCAAAGGAGTGGCACCATCCAATGAACATTGTAAGATGTTAACTTCTATGGCTACACTGGGTCTAAGGGACATAGGGTAAAGCAGGGGAAGCAGGTAGGGGCAATGGAAATGTTGCAGGGAGAGATGCTAGCAGTTTGGATCAGAAGGACAGCTGAAGGTAGTAAAAAGGTGATTGGATTCTGGAGATATTATATGTGTGTGTGTGTGTGTGTGTGTGTAAAACCACAACAATTTCTTTGACCTAAAGTCTATCCCCAAGGCCATTTCCAGGCCTAAAACTCTTTGCATGCACTTGAATCTCATCATCATCTCCTCAAATCTCTCTGCCCAGCTGTGGTAAGAATAAGAGAAACACCATGTTAACTCTGCCTTTTTAGATCCAAATTCTCTTGAGCATCTTGTTTCTCTACAGAGATATTAAGCCTACTTGGAAGCTATGATTCCACTTCCATGGCCCAAGGTTTCTGGGGTGATATTGACTCGATCCTATTCTGTGCCCAAGTAGAAATATGGTGATATTGACTCGATCCTATTCTGTGCCCAAGTAGAAATATGGCAAGGAAAGGCTATTTTACCCTCAATTAGGAAAACAGACAAGCTTGGGGACAATGGAAGGGCATAATTGTCAACAAAAGGAAAGTTTGAAGAAACATCTGCACAAGAAAGAGCAAGTGGCTGACCCTGCTGTGAACAAACTCCACCTTCGTCAGTTGTCCTGATTGATAGGTATATGATCTGTCACTGAGATACTATTATGTGCTACCTGATCTCCTGGATCCTGAATTCCTCTTCAACCTACCCTCTACATTACCACCAGACACAGGGTCTCCATGAATAGGAAAGATAGTATTCTCTGCCCTGGCACTCTCTAAAGAAGTGCCTTAGCCAAGCACAGGGGCACACACTTATAATCCCAGCTACTTGGGAGGCTGAAGCAGGAGGATTGCAAGTTCAAAGTAAGCCTGGGAAACTTAGCAAAATCTTGTCTTGAAATAAAAATAAAAAGGAATGGGGATGTAGCTCAGTGGTATAACATCCTGGGTTAGATCCCCAGTACCAAAAAAGTAAAAGGAACAGGAGGGATGGGAAGAGAAGGGAAGGGGATGGGGAAGGGAAGGGGAAGGGAAGAGGGAAGGGAGGGGATGGGAATGAAGCTCTGCCCTGGACCACAAGGACCTGGGCCAGGCTCCAGTTTTATGCAAGATTCTCTACTTTAGAAAGCCAGCCCCTGTGCTCCCACATCCCGCAGTCTGTGGAGGAGGCTCTAGCTGGGGCAGGGGCTGGATGCAGTTAGGGGAGCTGCGGTCCTTTGACCTCAATTCCACCTCAGCAGTATCCGTACAACGCAGCCTTCAACACTTCCTGCCCTAATTGTTGTGCAGTGTCACCATCGGCTGTTAAACAGCTGCCACCTGCCACCCCAGACCTGGATGCTGGCCAAGGGTAGGCAAAAATATTCCTTCCTTCATATAAATTGTGGGAAGACTCTTCTGGAAGAAATATGCTCAGGAAATGTGCAGTGTCACTGGGTCCCAGGCAGTGGTTCTGGTCTGTGCTCCTCCATTGTGATAACTGGTCACCCAGCTGGCTCTCCTCCTTGCCCCCTTCAGTGCCACCTTTTAAATTCTCTGATTGGGGGGCTGGGGATGTGGCTCAAGCGGTAGCGCGCTCGCCTGGCACCTCAGCACCACATACAAACAAAGATGTTATGTCCGCTGAAAACTAAAAAATAAATATTAAAACACACTCTCTCTCTCTCTCTTAAAAAGAAAAATTAAAGTCTCTGAGTGGGGCTGACAATCTAGTCTGGAGTCATGGAAGAACCCAACACATTTCAGCAGAGGGGACCTCAGAAGTCATGCCTTTTTAATAAGCAATGGAACCTTCTCTCCACCTCCTGAAATAAACCTGATCTAGATCTCCAATATTTTAAGTACCTTTGGTGACAAAATTGATAGTTTACTTGTTCTTCTACCATCCTCAGTGGTTTGGAGGCCAAGCCACCAACCCACAATCCTCGAACCTGTTCGAACATTTTCATTTCGCAAATGACGCACCTCAGGACCTAGAGTCTTATCACAACTCCCTCTGCGAATCAAAAGCAGAGGTTGTCCAAATTCCCCCTTTGATAAGGATATGGGTCATATTGAATTACAACCCACCTTAATGATCTCATTTTAACCTGAGTAGCTCTTTGTAGACTCAGCCTCTAGTAAAGGTCATTTTCTGATCTACAGGGGTTTAGAATTTTAACGTGCAACTTTTGATGGGACACCATTCTATGCATGGCATACAGGCAAGACAAAAACAAACCTGAATGTCAGAGGACCCTGGTTTTCTAATGCTAAGTGCAGGTGGCTTGCAGAATTCAGGCATATCAGTAGCTTTGAAATCTGTCATGAAGGGAAATTGACAAATACTACATAACAGGGTTTTCCTCTCCATCTCCTGGAGGAGAGCTGAGGATTAAACATTTACGGATATAGCACTGGATTGGGAGGACTCATTCTAGTCCACCAGGATCTGAAATAGAACTTCCTGTGGAATTGGATCTTTGCTTCTTAGATTTTTAAAGACTTT